GGGAAAGAGGAGTGAGCAATGCAAATTGCCTCAACCAGGAAGGAAAGACAGGCCTGTGGCCACCAGGCTGAGCTCAGCCCATGTGCTTGTGGCCAGGTGGCCGGTAAGACACATGCAAAAAAGTCGAGACCAACTCCATAAAGATTTGGTGTAGTCACCACTGCAGGAGAGATTAGCAATATCATTTATAGAGTGCCCCATACGTGCAAAGTACAATTGCCTGTTTTTCTGCCATTCTTTCTTATTTTTTTATCCATTAACAGCAAGTAGTAATTTCACCCTTAACCAGGTAAGCGGTCCAGTAAAGTCAATCATTTAAAGCCAATCTTTGAACCCAAAAGTGAGCAAAAAAATGGCCAGTTTCGTGTACAAACCAACAGTCACAAAAGGTACATGCGCTTTACTTTGTAATAGAGAAGGCACCTCAGTGCTTCGCTGCCCAGACCGTAGACTTTTTCCTTGAACACAATTCTAACAAATGGGGCTTCCTGATAGCCTTGGCTACATCCAAACAGAGTGGAACCGCTAGAGTTGGATGCATTAAGAGTAATTAGGAGAGAGAAAATAAATAAAAAGATAGAGGACAGCACACAATAATTGGACAATTTCTGGATGAGTTGTATCCACTGAGATACCACAGTTTCACAGCATGATTTAAAAAACTATATTCATAGTGACAATTCTCAGCAATGGGGAAGTGTTTCAAATGTATTGTAACATCTATTTTAAAGAAGGGAAAGACATAGTTTTCATTACGATTTTTTTTTTTTTTAATTTAGCATGCTGGAAAATTGTAATGCTACATTCCCCAATAAGATTGAATAAACCAGGTATTTATTCCTAAACTTTTTACAAATCTGAACATTTTTACGTGCACGTCTTCTGTATCTTATACAGTTATGCCAATTATTGATTTCCCTGACATGTTAGTTTCTTCAGAAAACAGTGGGATGAACTAAATAATTTCCTATGTTTCTTTGATTCCATGGTTTAAAAACTTATATACCCTTCCACATTTGTTACAAAATGTGACAAAAGCATGGCTGTTTATAAGAAACCCAAAATCTTGACTCAAGAAGACTTCACAGGGCTTTGGGAAAATGAGAAAGTAAGTGGTGAAAATATTAGACTGCAAGTGACAGAATCTCTCAGTAATCTTACCAGGAACAAATTAAACAGCACCTTGAAATCTAAAGAACTGAACAGCCAATCACAATTGCTCCTGAAAATAACATGGCTCTGGATAGGTCTTGGCACTCAGGAATCTTAAGGCACCTCATAAAAGAAACACTGCCAATCTCGCTCTGTAGGTGATGAAACTGAGATAAATTATCTGATGCAAATGCAAAGGAATTTAGAACTCATTTTGTTGGCCATCTGTTTTGGCATTTAACCTAAACCTTCTTCCAGAGCAGAAGGCACAGAAGCTTTGTGTGTTCCGATGACTCCAGTGACTCCAATGACTCCAATGACTCCAATGAAAAAGTTCTGATGACTCTAATGAAAAGTGTGAACTTAGATGAACTGAGTTTGGTTTATCCAGTAATGGGAAAAGCTAAAGAATATTCTTTTGAGCATCGGCACTGTGCTGGAAGCTGAAGGTTCAAAGTTTCAAAATAGTCCCTGCCCTCAAGTGGATTACCATATATTGCGTTGGCATTCTGCTAGCCACTTTTGCTCACTTTTGGGTCCAGAGATTGGCTTTAAATGATTGACTTTACTGGACCTCTTATCTGGTTAAGGGTGAAATTACTACCTGCTGTTAATGGATAAAAAATAAGAAAGAAGGGAAGGGAGGGAAGGGAAGGGAAGGGAAGGGAAGGGAAGGGAAGGAACAGGCATGCTCACCACTAACTTTAGTTCAAGGTTAATAATAGAAGGGTGCACAAAGGATATGGAGAGAAAAGAAGAGCTGAGGAAGCCTTGCGGAGAAAGGTAGTATTTGATTTGGGCCTTGAAGGACAGGAAGGAAGTCAGGAACAAATGAGATAGAGCCCCTCATTCCTACTCTACTCCCCAGTCACCCTCCATTGCTTACCCCCCCACACCACTCCCCATCTCTTCCCTACCCCACCTTACCCTACCCACTCCACCAAAACTTCCTTGGAATCCTAGGTCTCCATGGAACACTTCAGAAACCCCCATCTTTTTTAATGTCTCCATTTCAGAGGGGAAACTGAGGCACATAGAGTGTTCTCCACGTAGGAAATAGAGTGCTCCAAGGAATGGAGGTGGCTTGTACATGATGAGTTTGGGGACCAGTGAGTGATCTGATTTGGCCGGAGCAGGGGGAGGTCAGAATGGGAAGGGATATTAAAGGCAGACTGTGGAGAACTTTGAGTGCCACGTTGAGGAGAGTGGGGTCTATCTTCAAAGGTGGGGGTGGGAGGACGGGAGGGGACAGGATCAGAAAGGGGACAGAGACTGAAGCCGGGACCAGATAGGAGGCAACTGTAATTGTCCGGGTGGTGGGCGATAACTGCTGAAATTCAGGAAATGAGAGAGTGATTAGAGAAGAGTGAGAGAGACATGGAGAAAGTAAACTGATAGAACTGTGGGCATGATGGAGCGGGAAGAAACTCAGAACCAGGAATTCACACACACACACACACACACACACACACACACACACACCAGACTGGGCTCTTTGCCCTGCATTCCAGGCTCTGTTGTTGACCAGCTGTGAACACTGGGCAAGCCCTTCACCCCATGTGCCTCAGTTTCCTTATCTGAAATGGTGGCATTAAATAAGATTGGGGTTTCTGAAGTTCCATGGAGACCTAGGATTCCAAGGAAGTTTTGGCGGAGTGGGTAGGGTGGGGTGGGGTAGAGAGGTATGGGGAGTGGGGTGGGTGTGAGCAATGGGGGGGGTGACTGAGGACTGCAGCAGGGATGAGAAGCTCTAGATCCAAAACCACCTATTTAATCAGAACATCTCCTTTATGTAACAGGATCCCTTGTAACAGTAAATTTGCTAAAAAAAACAAAGGCCCCCAACCAGTCTGATAACCACAGGAACATACAGATAACCTCTAACACCCCTTTGTGCTCTCACACTTGAGTGATCACACTTAGAGAAACTGGTTATCCAAGAGATCTGCTAATATAGTGGATGTGGGTCTCATTTTTAGGACCCCATTGAGTTCCTGTTTATTTGATGAGCTGTTGCACAAATGCTGGAATAAATGGAACAACAACTGTCATGCTGAACTGATGCCAAAACTCTCAAAAATGGGACAGATTTACTGAAAGGCCATCTGGTGTTCTTACTCTTGTGCCTTACCTTTTCCCAAGACCCAGTGAGTTTTCCAAACCTCATAAATGTCAGCGTGAAAACGGCCCTTGCCTGCAAGTACAAAGACACTGGCTTCCCTGCTACTGACTGTTGTCCGGCTTTGGGTTAAGTTGAGTTGCCCCTCTGGGTTCCGTTTCCCTGTCTATAGAAGAAGAGCATTGCAGCAAACAGCCCTAGGGGCCCCTCTAGTTTGAACATTCCAAGATTCCAGGATCCTAAACTTTGGAGCCTGTTATCTGAACAATTGTCTGATCAATAGCACGTGCTCTGGGTCTTGTTCTGTCACAGTCAGATGGTCAGTGTATTAAGGGCTTTGGGCTGTTGACTCTTAAGGATTGGGCAATGTGTGCTTTAGCCAAAGTCTCTGAGCCCTGCAGATGGATCACTCCGAGCAGAGGGCTCAGGTCTAAATTAACAGCAGATCTTTAGAAACACGATGCTTTGTGGATCGGTATGTGGAATAAGAAAACCCGTGCCTTTGGTATAAACACCCCCAAATGGTCTACGAACCACCAAAAAAAAAAAAAAAAAAAAAGTAACAGAGGAAAACCAATCAGAACCACCACCAAGTTGAGACCAAAAAGTTTCATACAGGTCTGATATTTACACACTCACTGCCTTCCTTTGCCTCCTGATTTCTCCTCTCGCCTCCCACTCCCACAACTAAAAAAAACAAAAAATATTTTATTATTTTTTTACAACGATTCCTTTATGCGAAAGAAGAAGAGAAGAAAAACTGAAGAGGTGAAGCGAGCACTCACTGGGAGAGCACGGCCAGGCTGCGTCTTCCCTGCGATCCGGATCCCCCGAGCATGTCTGCAGCTGGAAAAGGGCTGCGGGGCGCAGAGGTGCTGAGACCCTCTGAGCGGTCAGGGCGTGGACCGGGCCCGCGGAGGTGCCATGTTATCTGTGGCTGAAATGTAGTGTGCAGGATGCTCCCGGGCTCTCCCTTTGTGTTAACACTTTGGTCTGTCCCTGTGACGAAAGTCTGGGCTTGTCCTTTGCCAAATTTACTCCTCCCCACCCTTTCCCTTCGCACAGGATCATCAGAGAGCTGATTGTTATTTTTTACTGTAATCTCTCTAATAGAGGCCCATCATGTTTAGATTTAGATTGTAAACGGCCCAGATTGCTTTGTGATTTCCAGAATGCTATTACTGGGCGGTAGGGGCCAGGATCCCCAGTAGCTTTCATGATGAAGACTTTATATGATCAATTACAAATAATTCTTCCAAGGCAGAGAACTAGTTAAAGGAAAAGACACTGATCCACGTGCTCAGCCTTTTGGAAAATAGTCGACCATGGTATCACTTGCATGCACAATCCAATTCTGAAGAGATCAACGGAAATCAGCCCACCAAAAAGTTCATCCGGGTGCAATTCTCAGGCCCTCGTTCTGAGCTCTGTTCTCAATTAGCATTGGTGTCAGTGGCTTCCAAAGCAAACAGTTCCCACTGAGAAATCAAATCTGGGAAATTCCTATTATCCCTTTTATTCAGGGGAAGATGCATGATATAAAAATGCATACAAAGGCAAAGGGAAGAGAGCCAGAGGATCAGTGATATGCTGTGTTATACAGGGTGTTTGGTGAAATAAGGGCAACAGCTTGACGAAGGGACATGTTGCAACAGTGGGCCCGGTCTGCCCCCGTGGCACTCTGGCGTGGTGATCACATCCGCCAGAGGATCAGTGATATGCTGTGTTATACAGGGTGTTTGGTGAAATGAGGGCAACAGCTTGACAAAGGGACATGTTGCAACAGTGGGCCCGGTCTGCCCCCGTGGCACTCTGGTGTGGTGATCTCATCTGCCAGGCCAGGCAAGGGAGCCTGGTCAGCAATAGCTTGGAAAGCAACCAGATTCCAACCCCTGTGGAGGGGGTGCTGTTGATTCTATCTGGAGATGACACTCTATCTAAGCTTGAGTTATGAATATGCTTCTTCATAGCTAACAAGCAATGAACAGATTGCTGCTGGGGCACCAAGACACTTATGGGACTGGCTTTCTGTTAAATAAATAGAACAACCCAGATCTCCACAATGTAGGGTTAAGATGATTCTTTTGGTAAATAGCAGGAGAAACAATCAACTTTACACATTGATTCACATCCTTCATACGATGAAAAACATCTTTGAGATCTATGGCTTCATATCACAAACATGGACACAGAGGCACAGAGCACTTCAAAAGTTCACCCAAAGTCATGGAGAGGAACCAACGCAAGTATTCCTGTGCTCAACTTAAAGAAGTTTAATTTAGTTAGATTAAATCCTCTCTTCACTTTAACTAACTAGAAAATTTTGGTTGTTTTATTGCTTAAGTACTATGCTGTCCTCAAAGTCATAGTTTATAGAGTAATACAGTTTAATGAACTTCAAAATTAATTATCTCTATATATCATGATGAATGTACACCTTTAAATATCCCTTTGTTTATATATGTTATCACTCAACATATATTGACTATTTAAAGTGCATGAGACACTCACTGAGATCACACAAGAGGCTTTAATGAAATACTCACTGACTAGACTTGAGTTTATTGCTCCAAAGCTGTGATAGATACATGTATTGAGGCATTTTGCTATTCCTCTTTCTACCACATTCTTCCCATTTAATGTTTTTCCTTTTAAAATATTCAGTGATTTGCTGTGGCAAGCAGAATAACATTCCTCCCGAAGACATCCATGTCCTAATGCCCAGAACTTGTGAATATGTTAGTTTACATGGCAAAAGGGATTTTCCAGATGTGATTAAGTTAAAGGCAATGAGGTGGAGAGATTATCCTGGATTATCCAGATGTGCTCAGTCTTAGTCACACTGGTGTTTTAAGTGAGATAAACCTCTCCCGCTGAGGTCAGAGGGGGATATGGGTACAGAATAATGGCCAGAGAGATGACCTTGCTGGTGCTGAAGATAGAGGAATGGGGTCCAGGAATGTGGCAGCTTCTAGAAACTGGAAAGGCAAGGAAATAGATTCTCCCATAGAGCCTCCAGAAAGCAATGCAGCCCTGTCTATATCTTGATTTTAGCCTAGAGAGACCTGTGTTGGACTTCGAACCTCTAGAAAAATAGGTTTGTGCTGTTTTAAGCCACCAAGTTTGTGGTTATTCATTACAGCAGTGATAGAAAACTAATACATTTGCTTATGGGACTCAACTGACCTCGGGAATACGTTTCGCCTCCTGATTTCCCCCATTTCCCACCCCCACTCCAATTCTGAGGTGGCAAGTATAGTTCTGGCATATTTGGAATAAGTTCATAAAATGGAGTAGCCTGGAAAAACTTCAGTGGTTCTTCCAGGCCAGCCCAGACTCTCTCTCTCTCTTTCTCAACACACACACACACACACACACACACACACACACACACGCACACGCACGCACACAGGAGAGCAAGAATTTAGTAATCTTCCACTAATATGCTGACATTCATGCACTGAAAGTATGCGAATGGCCAGCTGTATAAAAGATATCCAGCAAGTTATTTTCCTAGTTGTAAAGAGAGAAAGAGGGGAAATCATGCACACTTGTAGTTGGCCCCTTGTTATTAATGTAACGTGTTTGGGAATTAGCTGTCTGTCTTCAGTTTGTAAAACTAATGGATGTCATAACTCCTGCTGGGCACTGACATGACAATAGTGAAGAGAGGAGTGAGTTTTGGGCCTGGGTCAGACACCAGTAGGGAACAGGGAGAGCACAAAGGACAATAAGAAGGAGATTGCATGCATTTGGAGATGTGAATCATGAGATGAGAGCAGGGCTGGAGTAGGCAAATGCTCCCAGGTAGCCTTCTATGGTCCAGCTTCCTGGGGCTGGAGAGGCAAGGTGAGAGGAATTAGGAAGAACATACCAGGAGGTAATTTGTGAACAGTGTCTGTTTCTGCAGAGACCAGCAGGCACATGTGCCTTCACTGTGTAGCACAGACACGGGTACTCAGAGTCCAGCTTCCAGAACTGGTGTCTCTGAGAACTGAAGAAGTGATCATTCATTGGCACCATGAACAACAGGGCCAGCAAGATAGTAGGTGTCATACATATGACATTTCCAGCCTCTTTTACTAGGGGAAACGGAAGTCTGGGCCACTCTCAAATTACTGATAGCACCCTTCATTTCTAGATACTTTGCTTAATTTTTCATCAGAGAGATTCTGGGCTGGGAAGGTTTGAAGGAGGTCAGTGCTATAGAATGAAATAGCTCCCACCACAGGGTGGTCTTTTATTAATAAAATATGATTAAAAAATAACTTTACTTCATGATCTCTTCCAGACTTTATGGTCTGCAATGGTTGTTTAAGAATAGCTTTTACCTTGGAGCAATTCCCTAGGGAAAAGAGAGGTATGTGGGAAGTGCCCCTTGTACTGCCTTAATGCACTTAAGACACACACACACAGAGCCACTCACCTCCTACAGAAACACAACATAAAGTCAAAGGAAATCTATTCACATGAGAGGCAACCGTTCAAGTCATTTAAAGGGGATGTTTAAAACATCTTGAAGGAATTTTTTCTTACAAAGAAATTCATAGACTCTACACATTGAGAATGAAGCAAAAGATCTTGCCTAGACAACGGCTCACCAAGGGGTGGACAGGAACGGAAGTGAAGGGGTTAACTACATATTTGTAGGCTGAACCTCTTTCTTCCTTTCCCTTGGTGACTTAGAGTCTTTCCTCCACACCTGAGGGCATCACCCTCCTCCTCACTCCCCACCCCCAAAAGCACTGAACATGTTCACTTAAACTATATTGCTTTGTATTTTCCTGTGATACTGCTTTTTAACGGATCTTCCTAAGAAATCTTCTCATGAAATAGTTCTCCCTTTTTCCATCTCCTTCTGCAGAAATTACAGACTCCTCTTCTTTCTTTCCTCTGCTTTCTACCATCCAATAAAGTCTTTTCCTCACCTCTCCTTCCCTATGGTGTCTTTGATAAAGTCTTTGTAGTTTCCACTGTGGAATGTGTGATGGGCTGGGTGGAGGAGGGGGTGGAGAGATGTATGTACTGTTATAGAAAGTCATCGTTTGTCATGAGAATCTGTATGGCCTTTGCTGACACAATTCTCTGAACTATTCTCTGGTCTGACTCCAGGCCTGTAACACATCTTGAGTTGCTATACTCTCTTGTCTGCCTTACAATGTTAGCCATATAGTTTCTGTCCCAACATCTTCCCCCTACTTAACACTATTTGAATATTTACTACAAGCAATTCATGGAGTTAAGTGCCGTGGAGGGCTCCAGAGATAAGAAGGGCAGTCCCAAAGGGAGATAAGATATGCATACAAAAATATTAATGCAAGATGGGGAGTGAGGAGTATTCTGAAAGCAGCGGAGCTGAAGCACTATACTTCTAAGGTGACATCCTACGATCAAGGTCCCAGTGTTAATCACTCTTATGCTCAATTTATCTGTGATTGAACTAGACTTCCTGTGGCTGAAATAGAAATCCACTTATCTCTGTTAGGGCCACAGGTATTAAGTCATCCTTCAGTCTGGTCTTTTCTAGGCTAAACGCCAATGCCTATTTTCCATCCTCTTAATATCAGCTTGAAATATAACAACTCTTCAAACGGGAAACCAAAATTGGACATAATAAAGGCTTGACCAAGGCTGAATGTGGCTGGCTGAAGTCCCAGAGCTGCCTGCCACGTTCCTGTTAACACATCCTAACATTGTTTTCACGTTGATAATAGCATCTCTTATAGAGTTCATTCATTAATTTTTGTGCTAAATCCAGGGTGGTTTTTTTTCCTTCTCCAGATTTGTTGCTTAGTCAGTCTATCTCCAACATTTATCTGTTAAGCTATTTTTGTTGTTATTAATTACCCTTAATATAAAGAACTTCATACTCTTTCCAGAGGCTCATTTTTCAACTCTTCCAGGTTACTCCCTGTAGTATTTTTGTTGCCCTCCTGCTTAAAACACAAAATCTGATTTCATGAAAGGAGAAAAAGATCTTTCAGAAAGCATATACCTGCATTTCAATACCTGGGAATTCTAGTGATCTATTTGAGGCAACATAGAGT